TACTGTCAAAACTTGCCTGGCTGGTTTGTGTGACAGGGCTTTCTGCTCAATCCAGTCCAACAGAACTGAATTTCTACATCTTCAAAACAGGTGCTAATCCAGACTGGGGTCCTTCTACAGATGAGTTGTAAGGGGAAAAAAAAAAGGGAGAGAGAGAGATGTGTAGATTAGGAGACGTAAGGGACATGTCAACTGATGATGGGTAGGAGGGTTCTTTCTGGGACGATTAAAATATCCCAAAGATAGATTAGGGTGATGGTTTCACAAATCTGTAAATATACTAAAAAAACATATATTTGTATGCTTTTTAAACAGGTGAATTTCATTGTATATAAATTACATCTCAACAAAGCTATTTTAAAAAGGGCATACCAATTTTTTAAAAAATGGGCAAGACTAATCCATTACGGCTATGGATGCATATTTGGGTGGAAAAAACTCTAAAAAAAATGCAGAGTGGTGATTAGTGTGGAAGTCAGGATTCCTTTCAGGTAGAGGGAGGGTTTCTTGATTGGAATGGGACACAGGAAGAAGCTTCTGGAGTGGGGAGCAGGTGGTATGTCTTGACCTGAATAGTAGTTACAAGGGTGTTTACTTTATAATAACTCATTAAGCTATACATGTGTTTTATATAGTTTTCTGTATCTGTTTTGTTATATAATAAAATGGTTTTTAAAAATAGAAGAAACAGTGGCTCACGCCTGTAATCCTAGCACTCTGGGAGGCCAAGGCGGGCGGATTGCTCAAGGTCAGGAGTTCAAAACCAGCCTGAGCAAGAGTGAGACCCCCATCTCTACTATAAATAGAAAGAAATTAATTGGCCAACTAATATATATAGAAAAAATTAGCCGGGCATGGTGGTGCATGCCTATAGTCCCAGCTACTCAGGAGGCTGAGGCAGGAGGATCGCTTGAGCCCAGGAGTTTGAGGTTGCTGTGAGCTAGGCTGACGCCACGGCACTCACTCTAGCCTGGGCAACAAAGCGAGACTCTGTCTCAAAAAAAAAAAAATAGAAGAAAGCAAGTATGAAATAACACCCTGTGCCAGACATACTCAAAGGTGACTCCCAGGAACCCCACCTGCTGGCACTCATGCCCTTGTGTAATCTCCTCCTCTTGAGTATGGGTGGGACCCGTGACTTGCTTCTAACCAACAGAATAAGGCAAAGGCAATGGGATGTAGGCAATTCCATGTTTATGTGGTTATGTTATATAAGATTTTGTGTCCATCTTGCTAGAAGACGCTCTTTCCCCTGTTGGTTTTGGAGAAGCACAGCGCTGTGTTGCAAAGGCCCACGGGGTAAGGAACTGAGGGTGGTCTCCACCTGACAGCCAGCGAGATACTGAGGCCCTCCTTCCAACAGGCCACAAAGAACTGAATGCTGCCAACAACCACGTGAGTCTGGAAGCAGATCCTTCCCCAGCTGAGCCTCTGATGACACTGAGGCCCCCCAGCTGAAAAGTTGACTGCAGCTTGTGAAACTCTAAAGCAGAGCCTTAGCTAAGCTGTGCCCTGACATCTTACCCAAAGAGACTCTAAGATAATAAGTGGGGGTTCATTTTGTTTTTCGGTTTTTTTTTCTTGAAGATAGAATCTCACTCTGTCGCCAGGGCTAGAGTGCCGTGGTGTCATCACAGCTCACTGCAACCTGTGCTCAAGCGATCCTCCTGCCCCAGCCTCCTGAGTAGCTGGGACTACAGGTGCACACCACCATGCCTGGCTAATTGTTCTAGTTTTTGTAGAGACAGGGTCTCGCTCTTCCTCAGGCTGGTCTCCAATTCCTGACCTCAAGCGATCCTCCTGCCTCAGTCTCCCGGAGTGCTAGGATTACAGGTGTGAGCCACTGTGCCCGGACAAAAATGTGTAATTTTTAAAACCACTACATTTGTGGTAATATTATTACACAGCAATTGATAAGTAATACATGACCTTTATGTTTGGGGGTCCCTAAGACCGCCCTCAGGTTCAGTGACTCACTAGAAGGACTCAGAGAACTCAGCAAAACTGCTATACTCACAGTTACAACTTATTATAGTAAAAAGCTACAGATTAAAATCAGCAATGGAAAAAGGCATTTTTCCTTGGAAAATGGAAAAAGGGTCTAGGAGAAATTCCAATTATCCTCTCCCAGTGCAGTCATGAGCACAATGCTTAATTCTCCCCACAATGATATGTGGCACCATGCATGGAGTATCACCAACAAGGAAAGTTCACCCAGGCCTTGATGTCCAGGGCTTTTACTAGGGTCAGTCATGTAGGCATACCTCACTGCCCACATGGCTGACTTAGTCTCCAGCCCCTTCTGAGGACAAGTTAATAATGCATGGCCCAAGAACCCCAGGTAAACAAGGACACTCTAATCAGCCAGAATATTCCAAGTGCTTACAGATTATCTCCCAGGAGCCAGTCTTTTCTCTGGAATGTGCAGGGTTCAAACACCTTAAGTGTAACTGTTGAGTTAATACTGTACTGCACAAAAGAATTAACTTTTTTTTTTTTTTTCTTTGAGACAGGGTCTTGCTCTGTTGCCCAGGCTGAAGTACAGTGGCATGATCATAGCTCACTGCAGCCTCGCACTCTTGGGCTCAAGTGATCCTGCTGCCTCAGTCTCCCCAGTAGCTAGGACAACAGGCATGTGCCACCCCACATGCTAATTTTTAAATTTTTTTTGTAGAGACAGCATCTCACTATGTTGCCCAGGCTGTTCTCAAACTCCTAGCCTCAAGCAATCCTCCTGCCTTGGCCTCCCAAAGTGCTGGGATTACATGAGCCACTGCACCTGCCCAAGAGGATTAACTTCAGAGGTGGTTTTCTTTTTTTTTGGAACAAAATAGTATAATTGCCATCATCTGAACCTTTTATCAAGCTAAATAATAAAAAGACAAAAACTTCTGTCAGTATTTTCTATAATTCACTCATATTCAAGGTGTTTCTAATAAATGCTCCATACATTTTACCACAGAATATTTTTCTTGGTAGCTACTTATGTGAAATGCAGTAAAAGCAACAATCAAGAAAAGCTAACTTGAGGCCGGGCGCTGTGGCTCACGCCTGTAATCCTAGCTCTTGGGAGCCGAGGCGGGCGGATTGCTCAAGGTCGAAGGAGTTCAAACAACCGCCTTGAGCAAGAGCGGGACCCCCGTCTCTTACTATAATAGAAAGAAATCAATGCCAACTATATATATAGTATAATATACTATATATAAAAATTAGCCGGGCAATGGTGCGCATGCCTTAGTCCAGCTACCCGGAGGCTGAGGCAGAAGGATCACTGGAGCCCAGAGTTGGAGGTTGCTGTGAGCTAGGCTGCGCCAGGCACTCACTCTACCTCGCAACAAAGCGAGACTCTGTCTCAAAAAAAAAAAAGCTAACTTGAGAAATCTTAAGTAGACACTAACCCAAATAGAAATAAGCCACAACATACTATATCATGAAATAGTGCCCTTTCCATATATTTCTCTCTGGCTTTTTATATTCTACCAAAAGTTCTCTGGTTATCAGTTGAGTTAAAAAAAAAAATTCTACCAAAAATTTTTCTACCAGGAAAGAATTTAAAGTTTATCTTCCTCAAAAGCTCAGACACAGTATTAGTGATTTGTAGATTAGGATTAAACAAGATCCAATTCAAGACACCTTCAATAATAAGGTTCTTTGATTTGAATTTCAATCTTAATTTGTAGGACACTGTAAAATTTAATATCTTGAGCAAAAAATCAAGAGAATTATCCTTACCTGATCTCTTCATATTAAGAATTCTTGCAGGCACTTTCCCACATTCACTATACAAATTTTTAGGAAATAGGATGGTAGTACGATACATATAAATAAAAGTCCAGTTGATTCAAGATTAAGATTCAAACACATACAAAGCTAAAATTCCTGCTCTTTTATAGCAAGGTTCACTTGCTATAAAATGGGTAATATAAGCCGGGCGAGGTGGCTCACGCCTGTAATCCTAGCACTCTGGGAGGCCAAGGGCGGGGGGATTGCTCAAGGTCAGGAGTTCGAACCACCCTGAGCAAGAGCGAGACCCGTCTCTACTATAAATAAAAAGAAATTAATTGGGCAACTAGATAATATATAGAAAAAATTAGGGGCATGGTGGCACATGCCTGTAGTCCCAGCTACTCGGGAGCTGAGGCAGGAGATTGCTTGAGCCCAGGAGTTTGAGGTTGCTGTGGAGCTAGGCTGACGCATGGCACTCACTCTAGCCTCGGCAACAAAGTGCAGACTCGGTGTCTCAAAAAAAAAAAAAAAAAAAGGGTAATATAAAGCACAACAGAGGCAGAGTGAATTAAGTGATTAATAACATGTGAAGACTTGATCGGTGGAGAATCAATATTGGAGAAATCAATAAATGGGCATGAAGGAACAATCTCCAGTCCCAATTTTGTAGTTTGGTCACCACCTAGCTATGTGACAACTCTTCAGGGCGTTGGCTTCCTCATGTCTAAAACGGGTTAATCCACCATAATACAGCTGTGCTCATTCCCCATTCATCTGAATTTAAAATCTATAGTTCCCTGCGTACTTAAGGTTTCTAAGAATGGATATGTGTAGATATTTTCTGTTCCTCAACATCCTAGAGTAAGGAACAAAAACTTCATTTTAGGTTAGGCAGTATTTACTTATCAGATAAAGTGAGGGCTAGATCCCCTAAGTGATTTATCAGCAGAAAAGGCAAAGAACTTTTTCCTGTCTGCATGTACTACCCTATACCCTACTCTGCCTCACGTAGGTGTTACAGAAAATACTTGGGGGTAAATCGACAACATTATGACCCGATGTTCTTGCTAGTAAAGTTGAATATTTAAAGCATTTTGAACAAAGTAGAGGCTAAAACTTCTATTGCCAGTCATTTATATAACTTTGCTATTGTTTTACATTAGTCTGTCAGAAATGCCAATGCTTTATTCATTCCTCCTTTAGCTGACTAATTCATGTTTTTTCTAAGCTTCCATTTTCTATTTAGTACTTCTCAGACTAAAGAAAACAGCTCATTTTAAACAAGAAGTTGATTTAAACAACAAGACGCTTGACTTGAAGGGAAAACTATCTAGGATTCATTTTCTTTTTAGAGTAATTTATCCCTACTTAAAGACAGATTGCCCTACATGTAACAGCTACGTACAAAAAAGTTATAAAACTGTCGTTGGTTTTACAGTGATAAATGAAAAACATTACAATTCTCCAATTGAACAAGGTATGCAAGGATTTTTATGTTGTTGATTTTTGTTAAAACAATGAGAGCAAAATAACTTACTGGAATATAAAGATAAGAGCTGAATGAGCATGCCACTAATGGAGAAAGGGGGTATTTTCACAGAATCAGTATTTTTCCCCATCCCATCTCCACTTGATGTCAATCAAAACATACCATTGGCCATTTAGTTAAAAAAAAATGCAATATGCTTGTGCATATATACCAGTTACTTTATGTACAATAAAGGAATGGGGAAGGGGAAAATGAAAGAATAGAGAAAACTCTACTGTAGTAGTCAGGATGTGGTGGAACCAAATTGCAGTTTTCTAATTGAGAATGTAATCTTGGTCTGTAGCAACAGAGTTCTGGAGTCTAGTAGAAGGTTCCCTCTTTAGTAGACACCTCCTGTCTGCTGTTGGAACACATCAATTGTATCTTCGTCCTCCATTTCCAACTGTGCAGGTGTGCCTGTTTCATTGATTGGCTGCCCAGCAAATCGGAATCTGATCTGCCTCATTGACAAACCCTGTCGTTCACGATAAGCTTTCATTAGTTTACTTAGTGGTGTATGCCTCTTAATCTTAAACTGCACCACAGAGCCATCCTGTCCCGCCACCTTCAAATTAATGTGATCGTTGTTCTCAGTCTTGACTCCTTCCTTAGGCTTTTTCCTCAGCCATGGAGAGCCCCGGAGTCTCCTCAGCGGCCCCTTCACAAAAGAGGTACCAGGTCCGCACGGAAGGAGCACACAAGCACCACCAGGAGCAGCGGAAGAAGGAGGTGGCAGCGGTGGACAAGGGAGAGCGGAAGTGGTTTTCTTAAGCCAAGTTACCACTCTGCGCGAAGACAAGGAAAGAGATCCGGAACCCCCGGGGAACCCTTACACCCTTACTTGCTTTATGATCAGGGAATTTCCAGGATGTAAGCCATACAGCCAGAAGGCAGGGTGCAGAGGAGCGGAAGCAGAGACCATGCACTCATACAGAAGTTTCTCCTCGTTGGCTACTGAATAGAAGGCAAGCTTCCCCTCCTCGAAGTCCAGCCAGATGCCCACCACCCCAGGTCTGTCTGAGCCGAGGACAGTTTCCTTGAACATGTGCCATGCAGAGAGCTGGCTAGTCCCCTTCCACTCTACACAGCAAGAGTCTGTAGTCCTTCCCAGGATCCGGTCACGGCTCATGCCCCAGGAAGCCACTCCAACCGCCCAGTGGCTGCAATGCCTGGTGTCCACTTCCCAGTACTGCTGCCCAGAAGAGAGGGCCTGGGAACATAAGACCTGGCTGGTGGAGAACCTCTCACGGCTCCAGGGATAGGACTGTGGGCGGTGGGACACGGTTACTATATGGCAATCCTTGGACACCTCCAGGCTACAGGAGAGGGTCTGCAGGTCAAAGGTTGGATTGATGGCCCCTGTGGGGGAGGGGAAGGGAAACAAGAACATAGCCTGTTAGCTTTTGATTGTCCATGCTAATTTTGCTATTTGTCCTCAAATAACAAAAAGCAGCTTTGTATCTTTTGGTGTGATAATGTTTTACTCATATTGGCATTAAAATCGGTATACCAACTTGCAATTTTCTGTATATACCCCTGAAGTTGTTATATCAGCAATATCCCTTTCCTACCTTAATTTTTACCTACCCATTAGCCATCTTTCAGGAAGCCCTCTCTAAATCCCACCCAGGAAGTCATCTCTTGCTTTTCTCCATCCTAGGGCTTTATGTGTTTTCTACTGATACTTACCATCTTCTACCTATAGCATGGTGATTTATGACCATGGCTGTTTATATCTCTCCAGTTAAACTGAAGCTTCCTGAGAAAGGACCATATTTTTTTTCATTTTGTGCATTTCATACTGTTTCCTATAGAGTGAATAAATAATTGCTAACACTTATGCAGTATAACTACGCTGGGTGCTTTATACACATTCATTCATTTAACCCTCAGGGCAATCCCACAAGAGAAGTACTATTATTATCTCCATTTTACAGATGAGGAAACCGAGGCTCTAGGGGGTTCAGTGTCTTGTCCAAGATCACACAGCCAGTGAGCAGAGCTGTTGGGAGCCAAACCCAAGTAGTCTGGCTCTGAAATCCATGCTCTTAAGGACTGCCCCAGACTGGAACGGCATGGTTGGGGAACAGGCAGTTGGCTGTAATTGGAGGTCCCAGCCCAGACGCCCAAAGGTTGCCTGGGCTCTGAGTGCTCATGGGTCTGGCCGAGCCTGGAATTTGGGAGTCTCAGCCTGTTTTGCCTTTGTAGTCAGCTCCCCCCGTGGAGGAACCTGGTCTGGGGAAGAAATCCAGGGACAGTAAGCCAAGGAGAGGCACTAGCAGCAGGAGGATGGACACAGCCTATTCTCAGCAGTTCTTCTCTGCCGCAAGCCAAACCCAAGTCATAAGTGGACCACATACTAATACTTACATGGAGCAAACTGAGAGGCTCTCTTGGGTGCAGGGAGGCTCTGGTTAGGCAGTGGGCGTGAGGAGGAAGACGGAGCTTCTGGGAGTTCCACTATGGAATCAGAGAAATTGGAAGGAGACAGTCTTATCAGAAAAAGGCAAACTGAAGGTATCCAAACGTCATGACCAAGGCACATGCACATGGGTTGTCTTCCTCATTATTTGCACATTTTGGAGCATCAGGACCTGATCGGGCAGTGCATGCAGCCCAGGCACGTCCAGACCCATGTTCTCACTGTGGACTTTTAAAGTGTCTGTTCCCACTAAGCTCTAAGCTCCTTGCTGGCAGCAATCTTGTTTATCTATATGTTCTAAGCACCAAGCCCCATACCAGCCCATTCATAGAAAGTATTTGATACTCTAGCTAATACAGTTCCAGGGGATGACAGTAACCTGACACCCAGAATATCAATAACTCCCAAGTCAATGCTTTCAACAGTTGTGATATAGACAAAGTGGCATGAGTTGGAGTGAGACTCGTCTCAATTGCTGATATTTCCTAATTATCTCTTCCTGTGCTAAATTTTAATGATTAACTTAAAGCAGCCATGTGCTAGAGTGCCATGGCCACACCAGGGAGAAGAAGATAAGTGACAGAAGTCCCAGAGTGTGGACTTTGAAGGTGAAATCTTCCCCCATTTCTGTCTTGAAGTGACAGCAGCATAAAGTGAATCTAAGACTCAGACTGAGAAGAGAAAAAAGACCCTGCCTAGAGTGGCTGTGATAACGTAGGTCATGAGAGCAGGAGAGCTGCCTGTCGAGAGGTTATACTCAAAATTCAGGTGGTAATGAAGCAACCCAAGTGTCCATCCAGGGATAAATGGATAAACAGAATGTGCTACATACATGCAATAGGGTATTATTCAGCCTTAAAAAGGAAGGAATTCTGATACATGCTATAACATGGGTGAACCTCGAGGACATTATGCTAAATGAAATAAGCCACTCACAAAAAGACAAATACTGTATGATTCCACTCATTTGAGGTACCTAAGTAATCAAATTCATAGAAATAGAAAGTGGAATAGTGGTTTAATGGCTGTGGTGGGGGTGGGTGTAGAATTCAGTTGTTTAATGGGTATAGAGTTTCAATTCTACAAGATGAAAATGTTCCGGAAATTGGTTATACAATAACATAAATATCCTTAGTACTGAGCTGCACACTTAAAATGGATAAGACGGCAAATTTTACGTTATGTGTGTTTTTATCACAATTTTTAAAAAAGACGAAATTCTTCCTCTATGCTATTAGCAAAAAAAAAAGAAAAAGGAAAAAAAGACAAACTTCAGATGGGTATCATTGTACTTCTGTTTAGCTGATAGGATTGATACTTATTGTTTTGTGTTTTGGTTTTTTTTGAGACAGAGTCTCACTTTGTTGCTCAGGCTAGAGTGCCATGGCGTCAGCCTAGTTCACAGCAACTTCAATCTCCTGGGCTCAAGTGATCCTACTGCCTCAGCCTCCAGTAGTTGGGACTACAGGCATGTGCCACCATGCCCAGCTAATTTTTTCTGTATATATTTTTAGCTGATCAATTAATTTGTTTCTATTTTTAGTAGAGACGGTGTCTCGCTCTTGCTCAGGCTGGTTTCGAACTCCTAACCCAAGCAATCCGCCTGCCTCGGCCTCCCAGAGTGCTAGGATTACAGGCATGAGCCACCACGCCTGGCCAATACTTATTGTTAATCATAGTTTTTAAAAAAAATGTTTGTGGCCAGGCGCGGTGGCCCACCCCTGTAATCCTAGCATTCTGGGAGGCTGACGCAGGAGGATCGCACTAGGTCAGGAATTTGAAACCAGCCTGAGCAGGAGCAAGACCCCATCTCTACTAAAAATAGAAAGATATTAGCCAGACAACTAAAAATAGAAAAAATTAGCTGAGCGTAGTGGCGCCCATCTGTAGTTCCAGCTACTGGGGAGACTGAGGCAGGAGGATTGCTTGAGTCCAGGAGTTTGAGGTTGCTGTGAGCTAGGCTTAAAAAACAAAAACAAAAACAAAAAACCCCATCTCTACAAGAAAATTAAAAAAAAAAAATTAGCCAGGTATAGTGGCATGCATCTGTAGTTCCCAGCTACTTGGGAGGCTGAAGCAGGAGGATTGCTTGAGCCCAGGAGTTCAAGGTTAGAGTGAGCTATGAGACTTACTGTCAATTTAACCTGCAATTATATCTCAATTATATCTGCACCCATATGAAATTATATACACAGTTACTGACATCAGCCTTGTTTGTAATGGAAAACAACTGGAAACAATTACGCATTCATCAGTAGAGGATTAGGAAAATAAATGTTGGCATACCCATAAATTGGAATACTGTGCAGCTATAAAAGAGAAAATGCTCTAGGTACTGATTTATGAAGGTATCAAGAAATAAAAGAGAAAAGCAAAATGCAGAAGAGTGTGTATAGTGTGCTACCTTTGTCTAACAGAAGATTGGGAGGAATAAGAATATAAATTCATATTTGCTCGTATTTATATAAATAACTTCTGAATTGACACTCAAGAAACTAATACAAGTGAGATAAGGGGATGGGGAAATTGGGCACCCATGAGAGGGAGACACCGTATGCTTTTTTAAATATTGTTTTGAATTTCAAATTAAAATTTAAAAATTTTAAATTTGGCCTGTAATCCTAGTACTTTGGGAGGCCAAGGCAGGAGGATCTCTTGAGCCCAGGAGTTCAAGGTTACAATGAGCTATGATCCATCACATAATTGCATTTCAGCCTGGACAACACAGCAAGACCCTGTCTCTAAAATAATAATAATAATTTAAATTTAACCCCCCCAATTTAAATATCAATCTTAAATTTGCATAAATAAATAAAAGCACTAAGGAACCCACGCAAAATAAGAGGGTGCTTATTTCTCAGATAATTTTTAGAACAACTAATAAACTGCTCTCTAATTTTTTTTTTTTTTTTTTTTTGACACACAGTCTTGCTCTGTTGCCCCAGCTACAGTGCAGTGGTGTCATCATAGCTCATTGCAACTTCAAACTCCTGGGCTCAAGCGATTTTCCTGCCTCAGCCTCCTAAGTAGCTGGGACCACAGGCATGCATCACCATGACTAGCTATTTTTTCTATTTTTTTGTAGAGACAGGTCTCACTCTTGCTCAGGCTGGTCTTGAACTCCTGGCCTCAAGTGATCCTCCCACCTCAGCCTCCCAGGGAGCTAGGACTATAAACCTGAGCCACCTTGCCCAGCCTCTAATTGTTTTTCTTAAGAAATTTTTTCCATTCTCAAGTCAGTAGTAGTTTAAAAAAAAAAAAAGAAACTTTTTCCAAGGAATCAACTTTCATAAGAAATGACTCTTTAAGTAGAGTAAGATCATTCAAATATAAAATATAAAAAAGCTATCAGAAATATGTCTCTAAAGTATATTAAGTTAGCAGTGGCCAGAGCAGGAGGTAGAGCC